CCCCGCCCCGGGCGGCCCGCCAGGCCCTGGCCGGGCTCCCGCCCTGGCCGCCGATCCACCTGCCGCCCCGCGCCCCCGACTTGGTCCCCCAGGTCTGGGATCGGTGGAGAGCGCAGCGAGGGGCGTCCTGGAGAGAGAGGGAGGGAGAGGAAGAAGCCGAGAAAAGGGGGAGGGAGGTGCTAGTGCCGGGAGTGCTTGGCACTTGTTGGGGAACTGGGAGGGATCCCTGGGGAAAGAATGAGAAATTGATGAGAGAGGGCAAGTTCAGCCTAGCCGGGGAGGGGAGGAGTTGAGCGATCAAAAGGCGTAATCCCGGGTCCGGTGGAGGGAAAGCGAGAGAAAGTCCCGTCCAGGGTAACATTAACACCTCTCTATCCGTTGCAATTGATTTTCCGGAGGCACTGCACCCAGCGATACCTCTCAACCAGGGAGGGACAAGGGTCACCTCCTCCAGCGCATGTCCCAGGCACGGGGCCCCAGTCTGGGAAGTCTTGTTCCCGACGGCAGGAGTCAGCGCCCCGCCCGGGGCTTGCCCTCCGCCTGATTTTGGTTTGGTTTGGAGGGGACGAATTCTTCCCAACTACTTTGCCATCAGCAGAGTAGGTCAGGGTTGAAGGATCATTTGGGAGTTAGATTTTAATTTGAAATCCTCTTTTCCTGCTATTTCAAGTTCTGGCCATAGTCATGTTTATTAAAAAGCATTTTTGTCTAGACCTTCGACCACATCACTCCTGTCTTGGGCCTGCTAATTCCCCAATGTGGCAACTGTAAATTACCTTCTTGCTTTATTTATTCGTTTATTTATACTCTGCCATGTTTCAAAAAAAGTTCTAAGATGGCTTACAAAAATACAAACAATACAAAGTAGAAAAACAAACAAGATATAAGATGAAAAAATACGGGTAAGAAGAATACTACAAATATGAGCTCTTTACTCTGCATTTAGAGGCCCCACACAAGCGTGCTATACTTCTCTCTCTTCAAGTCATATTTCAGCCTGTTTTTTTCTTGCTCCTGTTTTTAATTCCCATTTCTCTTCCTATAATTTTTCTAAAGTCCCATCATGCATCAAAACTGTGTTCTCCCAAGGATTCGGGCATATTTGACCATGTCCGGAAGGCAGCCTTCAAGTGGATCTGCTTACCAGGAAGTTCAAGCAGTTGTCCCTGAGAAAGGCCTTATCCCAAGGAGAGAGGGGATGGAGGTCTACGGGTTTAGCCAACGACAAGATGCCAGCATCAGAGAAGAGTGAGGCTGAATCCTTGGGACAAGGCAAGAAATAAAAGAGCCTAGCCTTAAAAGGACTGAGGCATTGAGAGTATGAACTACCAGCAAGCAGCCACCGGGCCCCCTGGGCAGCCATCGGGGCAGCAGCAGCAACTGCAGTAGCCTGAGAATTGCAACCTGAGCACTGAGCTTCTACAAGCACCAGAGACTTGGCTTCTGCCGCTGGCTCCAGCCAAGAAGAGGAACAACATGGCGGACATGGAGGCCAAGAGGAGTGAGTCTTGGCATGATGTGAGGCACACTCACCACATTGCACAGGGATTGCAGGGCAGTTAAACTACTCCAGAGTGATCAAGGTAATCTTCTAGTTTCATGACCCTACTTTTACTCCTAGCATAGAGCAGCCTGGAACACATGGCTGCGTCTGTTTCCTGGGGTTCATCATGGAAATCCCAAATTCACATCTAGAATCTGACCCCCGTTGCCCATTGTAGCTTCACCTTCCATCACTCTCATCTCATGCACCCACTGCCCTCTAGACACATGAAAATGACCTCTAGAATCCTCAGAAGAGAGCCCTGCGGTTCCCATCACTGCCTTTTCAGATTGCTCACTCCGCCACGTTTGCCTTTTCTCCCCACTGTTCTTCAAAGTATTTTCTGATCCTCTTTCCCGAACTTCAGCCAGATTGCATTGACCCCTCCAGGGTGGTGCAGTGGAATGTTCTGTCCAGACCTCATGATAGCACCCCTACTCATCAGTCTGTCTAATGCTTGTTTTCTCTCCAGCAACCACTTCTCATTCTAACCCCATTGCCTAGAATATGGACCAGCAGGCAATAGGTGCTTAATAAATACTTGTAGGAACAGTGAAGAGATGCATTTCCAGATCTTCCTGGAAGCATTCTCTTAACAAATTTGGACTGCGGGCAGAAAGCTTGGCCCCCAGATATGATTGAATGTTCTGCTCTGCATTGGAATTGAGACAAAAATAGAAAAGAAGACCACACATGAACACACAAAAGAGAAAGTCTTAAATGGTTTTTATTCTTTCATTAAGTAAGATGAGTCGAGTGTGAAGTTATTGTCTTTTGTTTGTCTGTGACTGGCATTGAATCTAAAACACCATAAGTGCTTAAGAAATATTAAAACTAATATAATCATCTTGAGATTAGGTCAACAAACATGAACATTATTAGCATAATTCATACTCAAGAGACTCATTCTACTTTGGCTTGAATTACCCCAGTAAATGAAGACAAAAGAGAACATTTTATCTAAGTGTGCTTCGTAAGTGCCTGGGGTCTCTAGATCGAAACCAGCTCCCCACTCAACTGCATAGAGGACTCAGTTTCCTAATTTGGACGTTAATTACTGTACAACTGCTTGTCTTAAATCTTCAAGAAAAGCAGGAAGAAAGCATAGGTCTATTAAAAACTCGGAGTATATGGCAGAGAGGAAAATCAAATCAGTGGTAAGGGGTTTCATATTTTTTTTTTAAATATTATTTTTGTAAAAATGATACTTGCTCCTTATTTAAAGAAAAAACATCAGCAAAGGCAGGAAAGTATGAATAAGAAAGCAAACTAAAAAATTCACCTGAAATTCCACCATCCAAAAATAACCCTTGTATGCATTCCAAGAACATCATTCGAGAACGTAGTTCCATTCAAACCTTGGAGCAAGAGCCTGTTGGAGAATTTGCAAAGAAACAGGTGAATTAATGGTGTAAGACTCCACTTGAAATAAACTGAGAGATTCTACACTGCCAGTTACAATCACATTTTTTTTAGGTTTCTTTCCTCCACATGGATCCAAAGAAGAAACAGAACAGACAAAACTGGAGATTCAGTGAGGTCTTATTTAAGTTCAGAACATTCGACCAAATTACTCATTCTTAAAATGAATCATTTTCTCACCACTTCAATCTGGAATTGTAAACGTCATGTTTATTTTGCCTCCTCACCCCTTCTGATGCACTGTGTGACTGCACCCATGCGGAGCTTCCTCACCTCTCAGCCCTCCTGGAGGGTTTATTTATATTTCCACATCCATCAACTGAAAGCAGGGGGGGGACTTTAAAAAAAAGCCCAAGGGACAGTAACAAGCCAATGCAAAGTCGCTTGGTATGGACTAGGTTATTTCTTACTTAAATGTGGGAGTCTCATAACTGTCCTGTCTCTTTGCACCTAAGGTGTAACAATAATACTAAATATTTGTAAAGTTCCTGTCTTCTAGGGAGCTCAGAGAAAAACCTTTATATAAGTGAGCTCAGCAGCTCTCCAACATTCAAACAGGGAAACTGAAGCATTTGCTCACTTTCGTCTGCTAACTGAGCCTCTTGTGTGGATAGGCTTCGTTAAGAGACGAAAGTTGGTTACTGGTTCAAATTAATACTATGAGTCAGTGGCTGAAAAGCCAAAAATAGAACTTTGGTTTCTTTCTTTCTTTTTTTTAATTTTATTTATTTATTTTTTTTTTGTGAGGAAGATCAGCCCTGAGCTAACATCCGTGCTAATCCTCCTCTTTTTGCTGAGGAAGACCGGCTCTGAGCTAACATCTATTGCCAATCCTCCTCATTTTTTTCCCCCAAAGCCCCAGTAGATAGCTGTATGTCATAGTTGCACATCCTTCTAGTTGCTGTATGTGGGACGCGGCCTCAGCATGGCCGGAGAAGCGGTGCATCGGTGCGCGCCCGGGATCCAAACCCGGGCTGCCAGCAGCGGAGCACGTGCTCTTAACCACTAAGCCACAGGGCCGGCCCACCACCTCATTTCCATAAAAAAATTATAATAATTTTTAAAGCCACCAGGTCATCACTCTGAAACTTTCAACAGGGCTGATATTTTTCATGTGAGCAAGATACTGTGATCCACAGTTAGCACAATGCTATCTCCCTCATTTTAATCATGGATGATACTGATGATGATGCTGGTGTGGAGGAAGAAGGGGAGGCTATAGTGCATTTACCTTTATTATCAGGAAACTGAGATGGGCTTAACCGAGTTCTTTGAAGTTGAGTGCCATTTGGCATTGCAGATCACTCTTGGCTCTTCCGTATGAAAATAACAGCAAGCAAACTGCTTTCTCTCTGCAAAGTCCACACTTTGGTATTATCTATAAACTGTACTCTAAAATAGACCTGTTTCATCTAAAAAAAAAGTCTGTGGAAGAAAACAATTATACCCTTTTTTGTCACTAATGACCATCTGTTAGAATTTCCCTTTACAGGGAACCATGATGTACACCAATAACATGGTAGGGAAAAAATTGCTTTATACTAGTACTCAGACTAGATTATTGTAAAGCCATGTTTCGAGAGTTTTTTTGGATATTGATGAAAGCAACAGACCCTTAAATTGTGCTCTTTATCAGAGTGATCTTTAGCATGAGAAAAATAACCATGTCCTCACATTTCGGTAAATTTCACTTTTATGGGGATGAAGCAACTGAAGCCCTGAGTGATTATGGG